GGGGGGGAACCAACAGCTTGTACACCCAGAAGGCCTCAGTGGAGGTGTCTTTTTAGTTATTATTTGTATTCCTTTTAGAGAGACCATGGGAAAAGTTTCCCTCTCCAGTTTTGCAAGAGGTTATTCTCTGACTTGTGAGGGGAAAGAAATGAGTGGTGTTATGAACAAAGAACTGAGCCCAGAAAAAAACCTACATTTACATATTTTCAAACATGKTTTTTTTTTTCATTTGTGCCTCTCTTATTAGTAAATTCAATGTCATTTAGCAAAAATGTCTTAATTTTGAATAGTTAAGTGACTTTCAGCATGAAAACTTGATAGTCCAAGTAAAAAGAATTCACAGCACTTTCCAGCAGAGGGGGTATAGCTCAGTGGTAGAGCATTTGACTGCAGATCAAGAGGTCCCCGGTTCAAATCCGGGTGCCCCCTTGCCAGTACTTTAMTATTTTTCACAGGTGATTCAGATAACCAGTCACTAGGGTATTTCTGGATCCAAAACTTCTGAAAAATGTCCTTTGACTCTTCCACTAGCATAATTTCCCCCCCCCTGGTTCCTATCGTCCAAGAACTAGCAGCAACACAGAGGTAGCTTTAGTAGGTTTGAGTCTTCCACCCTGACTATGTGATAAAAAGCCCACCTGCACCCTCAATAGGTAGAGGCAAGGCTCTGAGTTATTATCATCTTAGAAATTATTCACTAACCCACTGATTATTGTTAATTATAATTTGATTTGGGGTTTTAAAAAATAAAAAAAAGGCATGTTAGGGTCACAGCAGTATTATTTTGCCTAGTTCATAACCTGGTTGAAAAGACTAAGGATGAATCCAGGTTCAGAAAGCTTATATTCTGGCCAAGTTTAAGGGGTCATAGTACAGAGATGACAGGTTAAAAGTGAGTAACTTCCCTTCTTTATATTAGCACAAAGGCAGGGCCTTGGCTTGATAATCTACAGGTGCCATGTTCAGGGGTTGGTGTCTGGGAAAGGGGAAAAATGCTGGTTAGCTATTTCTGCAGCCTGGGTTTTGCACCATGGCTCTTATCTCCTTGTCCAGCCCAGCAGATCGCTGTAATGGGAACTGGGGGAAAAATGTGCCCAAGTATTTCCCTAGGTCCCTAGGGATGACACAATCAGATTCCGGGTTTAAAATATCACAGTTTCCCCCTGACTCAAGCAACATGCCAGGCAAGCTTGTCTCCCTTATTTTTTCCTTTTTTGGGGTAAAACCTAGTGGAAGGGACGCCCTTGATTCTCTCTCAAACTTATCATTTTTCTCCAACTTCACAATGACATGGGCACACAGCCAGCAGATATCTGTTTACGTCTTTAGAATTTGAAACTAGATAACCGGTAGTATCAGTCCACTGTTCCTCAAAGTGTGTTCGGGGAACCAGTATCACCAGCATCACCTGGGAAATTACTGGAAAAGCTAATTCTCTGGATCCCATTCCAGTTCTAAGAATCAGAAAGAAGTCCTCAGGATAATTTTGCTGCGTGCATTCATTTCTATGGTTTGCAACGGGGTAACTTAATTTTTGTACATTAAAGTAAACTGATAGGCATGTATTGGTTATTTTACTGTTCCTGAAATGTCTTCAGTCTCTCTCTGTCATGAGCAATAGGGAAGGGTGAACACAACATGTCCATGTCCAATGGTAATGAAGTCGAACAAAACAAACAATAAAAATAAAAGTATAAAATAAAGAAGAAAAAAGGAAAAAGTTGAAGTTGGAAAGGGTTGTGCCTGTGGGTTTCCCTCTTTGACCCACCCCTACCCCCATCGGATACGAACGACAACTTGGGGTAGTCATCCTGTACCCCGAACCCAGCGTCCTGAAGTGCCTGATAGACCTGTGGTGGTGGCGGCAGAAATCCCACCTCTGTCGCTAGTATGGGGACGTGCATCTTTTGTATCTGATAGTGCACTCAACCCACACCACCACCTTCCGGTGGACACAAAGCAAAACAGAAAGCTTTCTGCTAAGGTTGGAAAACGAGGAAGGGACTCACCCCGCCCCCGTTTTTGTTTTCTTATAACCTAGGATACAACGTTAAAATGTGAATTGAGGATGAAAAAAGGAATTATGCTCATTACACAGAGGAGAAAAACACACCAAGGGGGCACCCGGATTTGAACCAGGGACCTCTTGATCTGCAGTCAAATGCTCTACCACTGAGCTATACCCCCGTGCCGCTCCTGCGGTTGGAGGTGGCTCTTTTGGGTGCTAAAACAGTGTTGCAGCTGCTACGCAGGTACGAACTAAGAGTAAGGAGAAACGGATTAAGGAGGAAAGGGACCAAGTTGAAAGCAGAAGGTGCCTGAATCCAAGGAACCCTGGGGAAAGCTGCACCGCAGAAGCGCGGAGACGAAGATCTAGCCTSGATCCCGAGGCTGCGAGTCTAGTGGCGAAGGACAGGTTCCGCCCCACAAATGTGGGAAAGGACGTGGGCGGGAAGGGAGCTAACTGCGGGGGCGGGGAAGCGGGGTTCCGGTTCAGGCTGCAGGTTCACCCACTGGTAGGAAGGAAAGTCCCTGAATCTGGAGAATCTGCTTGGGCGTTCAGGAGTGTTCCCACCCCGCCCTCGACGGGTGAAAGGGGTTCGCCAGTCCCTCGGAGCCTGGGCACTCCAGATTTGCTGCCAGCCTGGCTCGACACCGCCTCCAGCACGGGAAAGGCCCTGGGCAAAGCGTACCGTCTGCCTGGGAGAGCGGGGGCTCTGGCACCCGGGTCCCACAGCCCGCCCCKGAACCCGCCCCCGCGCAGCCCCACGTCGCCCGGGGAGCGCGCCTCGTCGCGCGCGCCCCTGTCCGCGCCCGAGGCGCGTCCCCGCCCCGGTGCAGCCCCTCCTCCCCGCTGTGTTTATTAGGGGAAGGAGGGCGGAGGCGGAGGCCAGTTCCCCAGCTCCAGCCGCCGTCGCCGCCGCCAGTATAGTGCAGCCGCGGCCGCCTCCCGCCAGCCCGCCAGCCCGCCAGCCCGCCGGGGGAGAGAACGTGCTTGAGCTCGGGCATCCCCGCTCCAGTCTTTTCCGGAGCCATGAACCCCAACTGTGCCCGGTGCGGCAAGATCGTGTACCCCACGGAGAAGGTGAACTGTCTGGATAAGGTGAGTTCCGGGACTCGGAGACGCGTCTAGGCAACCCCGAGCTACGATCGGAGGAGGGGGAGGAGAGAGGGGCTGGGTCTTGCCGCCTCATCCCCGCGATCCCTGGGGAAGGGAAGGAGGGTGGGCGGTGTCATTGGGTGTGGGGACGGACCCCTTGGGGTCTGGGAGCTGGGGATCCAGGACGAGGCGGGCAGCCACTGCTGGAGAAGGGTGGTCTCTGTGACCAGGGGCTGGGACAACACAAGGAAGCCAGGCCCGGGGTGTGTGTGTGCAGGGAAGGTTAGAGGTGCAGTCCCGCCCCCCAGGGCCAGGAGAGTGAGCGCAGACGGCCGCTCCCTCTCCCCGCCGCGCCGAGCGCCAAGTACGCGGAAGCGCGGGGCGCTGGGGGGGAGGGGGCGGCGGGGGCGGGGCGGCGGCCGGGGGCAGGCGAAACCTGCTGCTCTGGCCACCCGGCTTCCTGGCCTGGAGGCCCCCAGCGAGGACGATCGCCTGGCGAAGGTCGCCTCTGGGAAGGGGGCTTCGGGTGAGGACCCGAGCCCTGCCTCGAGAACCCCTTTTTGGAACGACCTGGAGCCCCCCCTTGGTGGTTCTGTGGTTAAGGGACCAGCCAGTCCTCCTTCACATCTTCCCAGCCCCCACCTCGAATTACAAGCCAACTCCTGATGCTGGGCAGTGCAGCCCGAACCGGGCGGGGTCGGTGCTAGGGTAGGGTGGGTGGGGGACTCTTCTTCCCAGAGATCTCCTGAAATTGTGCTCTGTCTGAAGATCGGCTTGTAGAACAAAGAGCTAACTTTTCAAAGCAGGTTTCTCCAATGGAGGGTGGGGTTGGTTGAGTTCTGGGGAAGCCGAGAAAAGGGGGAGGTGTTTGGGGGGGAGGGGAGGGTGGCCTTCTGGAAATTCGCTGTCCCTGGGCCCCCTCTCCCCCCCCCCCCCGCCCAAGCTGGACTCGTTCATCTGGTTGCCATTATACTTTTAGAGGGGGGTGGAGAGCAGAACTGGGTGTTTCCACCACAGTTTGGGGTAGGATCCTGCCCTCTTGTTAAGCTCTTAAGATCCTAAGGTAAGCCTGCCCTTCCTTGAGTCCCCTCCGTGGTCTGGAAGAAAGGTCTCAGTTTTGGTCCCCTCCTCGTTGCGCTTTGCACCCACCATCCCAAGGTGGCTCCAAGTCTAAATAGTTCCTCTTTTCTATCGTAACTGGCAGGAGTGGGGTGGGGGGAACTACATACAAGAAAGGTGCAGGTTTTGTTTGGGAAAGGTTAGTTCATTGGATAGTTTGTCTCTCCCAGCCCCCTTGGGGTTGCCATTCCTCAGTGACCTTTGGCCCCTGAGTCAGGATGAAGAGGTGGGGTTAGAGATTCTGAAACACATTTGAACTTGCTCTTGTAGGGAAGGGACTTAGAGGACTGCTGCTGTTTCCTTACCCCTTCAGTGCTTGACTGGCAGGAGGAGAGGATATTGTGGGCAAGAGAGAAAGTGCAGATCTGCTGGATGATTGGGTCAGTCTCTGGAGGGCAGGACATGAGCCTGGAGCTTCTAGATGGGGAAACATTCCCTTGACAACTTATCTGACCTTGCACATGGATTTTGACCTCCCTGATGGCAAGGATTTTGGCCCCTGCATCTGCAGTTTTCTGGGCTCCTCTTCCTGTCCACAGTGATGAATTGGGAGGAGACAGTGCTCACCTTCAGAGGCAATATAGGATGAAAGGATTGCTAGCCTGGAAGTTGGAAGACTTGGTCCTGGTTCTAGGTCTGCTCCCACCAGCTTAATGAATGGCTCTGGGCCTTATAGGGTGTGTGAGTATGACTATGTTGTAACCTTGGAGGTGGGCAGTTCACTAGTTTCTGGAAGGAGCATTTTCCCCCCACATGATACTGGAATTGAACATAGGGATGCTTTGCCAGTGAGCCCAGAACACTGCAGTAAGTAGAAGCTACATCCTCAGCCCTTTTTATTTTGTATTTTTTAAAAAAAATACTTTATTAGTTGTTGGTGGACCTTTATTTATTTATATGTGGTGCTGAGAATCTAACCCAGTGCCTCACACATGCTAAGGCAAGTGCTCTACCACTGAGCCACAACCCCAACCCCTTTATTTTGTATTTTGAGACAGGGTTTCCTTAAGTTGCTAAGGCTGGCCTTGAATTTGTGATCCTCCTGTCTCAGCCTTGCAAATAGCTAGGATTATAGGCTGATTACAAGTGCTGGCCACCATAACAGTCCCCTCCCTACCTTTTCGGTCTATCCCTACACTCACTTGCCTTATAAAGACCATCAGTGCCCCTTGCAGTGACACATGCCTATAATCCCAAGTATTCAGGAGACTAAGGCAGGAGATTGCAAATTCAAGGTCAGTCTGGACATCTTAGGAAGACCCTGCCTCGAAATAAAAAATAAAAATGATTGGGGATATTGCTTAGTGTTAGAGTGTTAGAGTACTCCTGAGCTCAATCCCCAGTACCAGAAATATAAAAAGTCCTTTAGTGCTGTGTGTCAGGGGAGGAGGCAGGGATACTGCAAGGGACCCTCCCTAGTAGTTCTTTAGTCCCTGCTGGAAGAGGATGTTCTGGAGGGGGTTGCTGTGGAAAGTAGGATGGGGTKATTCCTCCCTGTTTTGAGAACTGTCCCTAAAGGAAGTAGCTCTGGAAAGACCTTGTCCTCCTTTCCTCCTGCACTGAGTCAGAGGCCTGAAATATTCAGGCTTATTCTTCCCTACCCCCTCCAGTAAGAAAATGTACCTGGAGAACCAGCTTCCTTCAAGCACCTGGATAATGCTGGGCTGAGACTTGGGAGTAAGAAATGTTCAGTCCCACAGGCATTGTTACTAACCAACTACCCAACGCTTCCCATTCCCAATAATGGTCAGTCAACTTAGATTGGCCTGGTTCACTACAGTCTCTGGTGACATGTAGCACACCAAATGGCTAAAGCACAAGCTGTGTCCTTGGTGTTAAGTCTTTTCTCCTTGAGCCTTATCTCCCAAAGGCATAGGTGGGTAAGGCTCAAGGAGAAGGCCAMCCTGCCCCCAACCTGCATTACCCAGGGTGCTCTGCATGCTGGATAAACATGTATTGCTGATGACAGTRTTTGAGGAAGGAGGTCGGGATTTGTTTCCCCAGAGGATTTCTGGGATTAGAACTGGGGGAGAAACAGGTTGACCTCATTTGCTCATTCATTCAACAAATATTTATTGAACACCTACTTTGTATACCTACTTTATATCTGGGTACCTGTATTGTCAAGTATCTTGTTATGTCCCTCTCCCATGACTGGCTCRCTTCCCCTGGCTTCTGAAAACAGGTGGAGACATTTAGGAAGGTTAGAGAATTGATTTGCTGCCACTTCCTCTGGAATCCCCCTTTAGGGTGGGCTCCCTGCCGCTGGTTATCAGAGCTCTCCCTCTACCCTCGAAGAGGCAAAAGTCCTTGTTTCAGTTTCCTAGCCAAAGCTTAGAATACCCCATGATCACCTTGCAATCATTCATTCATAATAGCTCCTGCTTACTGTAGTGTTCTGGGCTCAGAATATGTAGCTGCCTCGCCAGACATCAGTGATTGTTCCTGGGAATAATGAATCTATAAACAGAGGCTCAGATAGTTGATGTGGCTTGCCCTTTTGCTTTTAGCCAAAGTTGGGATTCACATCCAAAGTTCTTTCTGCTGGTGTATTTGCAAAAAGTATTTATTTAAAAGAATTTTTTTAGATGTTGATAGACCTTTATTTTATTCATTTATTTATCTGTCATACTGAGAATTGAACACAGTGCCTCATACATGCTAGGCAAGCACTCTACCACCTAGCCACAACCCCAGCCCATGCAAAAAGTATTTTTTATTTACGCACTCTTATTAGTGCCAAAGATGAGTCATAGCCCTCCCTAATCCCCCACTTCCACCTACAGATCTGGGATCTTGTGGGATGGGGGTGGTGCAACTGGGGTATAAGGAATAATAATAATATTGGTGGAGATTCAGGAAAGATCCACACCTTTAAGCCATTAGCCTGGGTTGGTAACCTGGACAGGGTAGAGCTGATGCTGCCCCTGGTGGAGAGGAAAAACTATAACCCTGGGCAACAGGAAAGGAGGAGAAGATCTCATACTCCAACCCTGAGTCATTCCACCCCAGGCAGCCTGGAGTTCAAAAGGCAAGGTGCCAGGTATAGGCACAGTGACCTGGAGCTCTCMACACCCACTTCCAGAGCCTTGGAAGGACTGGGCTGGCCCAGGTAGCCCAACTGAGAGGGATCCTTGCAGGGCTTCTGTGCCCACCAGTCTCTGTTTGCCTTTCAGTAGAGTGGGTTTCTGTAGAGGAGGTTGCAGAGGTGGCCCTCCTCTGTGGCCTGGGATCTGGCAGAGTGGCTTCTTGGTGCCAGAGTTTGGTCAAGGGCTGCCTGGTTTCTGTGAACAGGGACACCKTGGACTTTGCCACAGTTGGTTGCATGAGAGTAGCTGCCTTGAGGTGCACTTTGCTCCCCCGAGTGGCGGGATTGCTTCCCTGAAGTCTTTGCTAGCAAGGGGGTCTTGCTTTGGGACAGGGCTTCTGGGGCAGAGTCAGGAGGCAGATAGGGCCACTGACCCCCATTGAGACAGGATGGGGTTTCTTTCCTCTTTGGATTTTCGTGCTCAGCCCAGGCCTGGCTCCCAGGAGTTGAGTGTCTGGCCATTTCCTGTCCTCCAAAGAGGACACAGTGGCAGGAGCTGCTGGATTTTCTTGAATCTTATGGCCCTCTTCCAAGAAGAGGGAGAGGAGTGACATGCAGCAGCGAGGGTACTGGGCATCCCGTGAAGTGGACCCTGGCAAACCGCATTCCCTGCCACGGTGCCTCAGGGAGAATATTTTCAGCTCCACTTTACAGATATGGAGACCAAGCTCAGTAACTGTCCTGCAGGTATGCAGTCCATTCTGGTTTCCATTACTGCTTCTAAGCCCTCTATAAGGGGACAGGTGATGGCCTGCCCCAGCCTCTGATTATCTAGCTGAGAGCAAGAGGTCTTTGTGGGAGTAGGGGCATGGGGTGGGCAGGACTGCTGGTGGGAATGAGCTGTCTCTTGTACAGGAGCCCTCTTCCTCCCCGTCATGGCCTGGAGGGATTTGGGGGAACTCTGGATTGGGGGTTATTGGTCCTGTACCTCCAGCCTGGTGCTCTACTCTCTCCTGCTTCCCAACAGGGCTTGGCTTCAGGGTGGGGGCTTCGCCATCTGCTAGAGTAGGGGTGTCTGTCTCTTTTCCCTTGTCTCCCCAGCGTCATTCAGGAGACAGCCTTGGAGGTCCCCAGCCTCAGGACAGTGTGTATTCCTGCGTGTATGTGTGTGTGAAAGTGGGTCATGGTCTGGATTCCGGAGAATGTTTTTCCTGGCAGGCCCCTGTGGGGGTGGGGGAGGCCGGGGCCCAGGCAGGGGCATGTGCTGCCGAGCAGGCAGAGGCCAGCAGACTGGGTGGTGACAGTGCTGGGGCACTCTGCCAATGCCTTGCAGTTATTGGGAAAGACAGTGGGGCTCTCACTTTGGGGGCTTATGGAGGCAGAGACCACCCAGTTTTAGTTTTCTGGAGGTCTGTGTGTGTTGGGGTATGCACTTTGGAGAGAATGGAAGATGCTGTTGGTGGAAGCGGGAGGTTGGCATGGGAGAGGGGTTCTGAGATAAGCTTAGGTTGGGGTTGGGGGTGGGCTCAGGCCAGTMATCCCTTTACTTCCAGAATGCAACTGGCCTTCTTCCCAAAGAGAAGTTCTCCTATCATTTGCTTAATATTCCATCATTAGACTTTTCCTTTGGATCTTCTTGATAGGGAAAGTACCCCATTAGAGGGTGGTTACCCCCTGAAATTATCTCTGGTTAAGTGCGCCATGGTAGGGGAGATTGAATCCCAGCTTCTCAGCTTTCCTTTCTTCTGTCCCCTCCTCCAGGTGTCTTAAAAGCATCTTTTGAAAAGCTTGCCTTGCAGGGGAATCCCTTGATGGACAGCCAGGGAGCTCTGTCAGCTCTATGGCTGGGTACAGGGTACTTTTGAAGTCCCCTGGCCCCTCCTTGGCTTCTGGACTCCTCCTTTGAGGGTCAGGAATGTCTCCTTTGACTGCTAGGAATTGGGGCAGGGACAGGCCAGCCAGGTCATCCAGACAGCCTGGATTCTGGGGTCTTAATAGCTGAAGCCCTGGTTAGTGCTGATCCTGGGGCCACATCCTGGGCTGCCAGGGTTAAGGTGCATCTCGTTTGCATGGTTTGCCAGTATAGTACCACTTCTCAGGGATGCGGTCACTTCCTTTATTGCTTTCTACTCGGTCTCCTCCATCAGCCACCCTGAATTAGTCCTGGTGGCTCAGTTCCAGGCCTCTGGGTTTTTTTTTTCCGCTCATTTGCACACACATGCATTGGAGCTCTGTTTGGGCACAGTAGTAGCCTGCCTTCGTCCCCAAACCTCCAAAGAGGTTCATCCCTGCTGTGCCCAGCATCCAACATTGAGTCCTGAGGGGACTCAATGCTGTGCTAAGGGTTTTGCAGGTAATTTCTCATTAAACCTTAACAGTACCAGGATGGATAGGTGTTTTTTTTTTTTTTTTAAATATTTATTCATTTATTTATTTTATTTTTTAGTTTTTGGCGGACACAACATCTTTGTATGTGGTGCTGAGGATCGAACCCGGGCCGCACGCATGCTAGGCGAGCACRCTACCCCTTGAGCCACATCCCCAGCCCCGGATAGGTGTTTTTATATGCATTCTACAGACACAGAAATGACTCTGAGGTGCAGGGCGCTGCCCAAGGTCATATAGCTTGCAGGTGGAGCCTTGATATCTGCTTTGGGGAGTTCACCTCCAAAACTTGAGTGCTTCAGTGGGAGACTAGCTGCTGGGTGCTCCCCTACCTGTTCTCCAGCTGGGTGGGAGAGGGATGAGGGAGGGTAGACAGGGTGTGGGTGTACTCCCTAGAGCCTGGGGCTCTTCTCATGGGGAGGAGACCCACAGAAGTGGGATACACCAGAGCTGAGCATCACAGGGAGGGTGTCTGTGGGGGGCGGGGGGGTGCACATGTGTATGGGAGCTAAGAGTATCAGGGCTCTCGGCCTGTGTGCATGGGCTCGCATGGGCTCGTGGGGGGGGTGGGGGTGGGCCCATCTCCAGGCCTTGTGAAGCTAGAGGAGCTGCCCCTTCCTGTTCAGAGCTGCTGCTTAGCAACCCAAGTGCCACTTTGCATAAGCAATGAGGCCTTTCTAGCTCTAGAGCAGGAGGAGTGGTCTGGGAGGTAGAACTGACCTTCTGATGCTTCTGGGGGCTGCTGCCACCCTCACCTTCAGGCTTGCCCTCCTGCAGAACTCCAGTGGCTGCCTGGTAGAGGGTGGGGTGGAGAAGGGAGTGTCATCAGCCACCAGAACCTGTGACCTGAGATGCCCCCAGCCCACCAGGGGTGATTCCAAGTTCTCCACAGCTGTGGGCTTAGGACATTCCCTGGGATGGAGAGTCCCTGAGTATCCCTGCCTTCCAAGCCCCCTGCCCACAGTCCTGGTATCTGATGGGTGTCCTCCCTCTGTCTCCCCCCAGTTCTGGCATAAAGCATGCTTCCATTGCGAGACCTGCAAGATGACACTGAACATGAAGAACTACAAGGGCTATGAGAAGAAGCCCTACTGCAACGCGTGAGTCTTGCAGGGGGCAGGGACTGGGTGGGCGCTTCACTCCCCCTTGGGTTCTTCCTTCCCTTCTGACAACTACCAGGTGACATTGCCAGCCCTTTCATACCTGGCACGATACATTGTGATCACATTGTATCCTCGCAACAGATGGTGAGGCAAGGGTTCCTCCTCTTATTTTTTTTTTTTTTTTGGTGGTACTGGGGTTTTAACACAGGGGTGCTCTACCACTGATTTACACCCCTAGCCCTTTATTTTTAGATTTTAAGACGAGGTCTTGCTAAGTTGCTGAGGCTAACCTTGAACTTGGCAATCCTCCTGCCTCAGTCTCCTGAATAGCTAGGATGACAAGTGTGCTACTTAGAGGTTCCTTAGAGGCTACTTAGAGGTTAGTTCGTACCCAGTTCTGGGCAGTAAAACAAACATGCTTTTCCCATTGTACCCTGCTGCAAGATAGGGATCCAGTTGGGCATGGTGGCAAGCACCTGGGTTTCCAGTCACTTGGTGGATAAGGCAGGAGATTACTTGAACCCAGGAGTTTGAGGTCGCCTGAGCAACATAGTGAGCTCTTATCTTTTAACAAATAAGTAAATTAATAAATAAAAATTTTATTTTTAAAACAAGGGATCCAGCGATTAAGTGACCTGCCCAGTAATTGACAGACTTCTTCTCTCATCTGAGCACTTAATAGGCTTTTGGGGCTCCTTTCATCAGTGTCCCCCCTCCTTTTTTTTTTATGGTGCTGGAGATTGAACCCAGGGCCTTGTGCATTGGAGGCAAGCACCCTACCAACTGAGCTATATCCCCAGCCCTGGTGTCCCTTTTATACTCTGTTGACCCTGGCTCCCAGCCCTAGTTTGTTTCTGAGAAGTGGGGACGAGAAGCAGGGTATGGCCTGGCCTAGGCAGATCTCTTCCCAGCCTAGCCTGGTAGACCCTTGGACACTGCTTTTCTGAATGTAATTAATTTGCCTGCTGGAGGCAGAGGTGGAAGTTGAGAGGCAGTTGTCTCTCACGTGGGAGGAACACTGCCTGGTCCATCTCAAGCAGCTGCACAGTGCCCCAACCCTCCATTGTCAAGGTGACCTCTTAAGTAGCAAGTGCAAACTCAGTGTCAGGTTCATGGCACATGGGAGCTTCAGAAGGTCATATTGCCTGCAAGTGGGTGGAAAGATCAGTATTCTATAAATGTAAGATCTCATTTTAGTCCAGTTTTGGTTTTTAAATTTTTTTAAGCAGGAAAAAAAAAATCACACATACTTCATTACATGTCTAAATACATGGGCGTTTTAGACTTCTGGTTTTAAATTCTCAGTCAGGAGGCTCTTTGCAGCTGAAGTTCACCCAGGAAGGGAAATTTGGGACTTGTCTAAAAAGGGTTGATTGGGAGCTTAAATCCCTTGGAGGGACTGTCTCCCTTCTAGCACATTCCCAGTCCCCTCCTAATACCACTGTCTGTCTCTTTGGGGTTTTGCACATTCATTGGACATTTATTTCTTACCTGATTCTCTGTGTCAACCTGGGCCAGATGCTAGGAAACCAATTTCTGAAAAAACGTCAAGCCCAAGRGGCATCTAAGCATCAGCTCTCCCTGAAGGGCAGGAGCTTTGGGCAGCTTCCCTGGTGCAGAGGAAGGGCCACAGCTCCATGCTGGCTCCTCCTGCAGCTGCCCCTCTCTTCTGACTTCTGTTCCTCTAACCCCCACCATCCCCTCCCAGCCCCAAGGGAAATGGGACATTCTTCAAATTCTTAAGGGCTCACACAAGCCCTGATTCTCTGCCACTTCCTCCCTCCTTTGGGGAGTGGGGTGGGGTTCAGAAAAGCCAGGGCACTTAACTCCTTGGCTGCTGGCTCACTTCCGGCTGGACTCAGGAGCCTTTTTTGGGGGCAGCTTCGAGGCCTCCACTCCTGGGCAGAAGTTCAGTAGCAGGTGCCGATGCTTTACATCTCTTCTAGATTCCAGCAGCTTAAAACTCAGTGATCTTTGGAAGTTGGAGAAAGAAATCAAAAGCTTGACCTTATTTTCTCTGCATTTTCTTAGCTTAGTGTCAAAGGTCTGGTTTACTTTTCTCCCAGGCTTCTGGGGAGGCTAGCAGCAAGTGAGTTTGGGGGTTCCTGCAGGGGTTGGGGGTGTTGGGAGAGGCAGAAGATGTAGCCTTCCTCCCTAAATGGTAGAAGTTCTCTCTCTCTCCTGGCAACCAGCCAAAGAGGGGTTGTTCCCCTCCCCTCCCCTTTCTAGCCTTTACAGTCCTAGCTTTGCATGCAATTAACCTTTGACCCCTGGACCAGTTAGGTGTTGGCTGGGAAGGACCCTGGAWGAGAGGAAAGGCGTGGCAGATGTGTAACCCAGCTGTGCTTGCTCCTGCTGAAGTAGCACCTTGCCCAAAACTCAGATGCTCCCTCTGTTCCTCAGCCTCAGCCACATCTGGGCCAGCAAGCCCTATGTGGGAGTCCATCCTCTGCACCCGGGAGCCTAGGTTTCTCCATAGTTAAAATTCCTACCCAGGGATGCTGGACCCTAAACCTGTCTGCCTTTGGCCCCATCCTTCAGTGACATTCAGATTTCTGCATCCTGGGGTTTCTGAGGGTAGCTTCCCCATTCCTGTGCTGGCTGGACTTTGTGGACCACAGCTTAGCTTGGCTCAGCTTCCTTCTGTGAAGCACCCCACGCCCTGCTGGGCTAAGCCCCATGTAGGACCCAACAGGGCAGGTGGTGTCTCTTGGCATTTTGCCAGGTAGCTGGGCCCACCGAGTGAGCGAGGGTGTGAGTGTGGTTGTCAGGGAGGTCTCAATATTGGGTCTGTCCCTGACCGCCCCCTACACGTGGGGGCAGGGGCAGGGCATCAAGACAGAAGCGAGCTGTCTCATTTGTCTGTCCTTCTGTGAGGACTCTCAAGACCAAGATTGAAGTTCTGGACAGTGACTGTAAGCAGCACAGAGGCTGCTTCTCTTTCCCTCCTTGCGTTAGGCTGGTTTGGGGGAGAGGCAAGGGCACGGACACAGGCCAGAGCTCTTGGGCAGCTGCCTGGTACCGTGGCTCCCATGTATGTGCAGTTACCCAGGTGCCTGGTAACTTGGGTGCTTGGGGCACCCCCAGACACACACACACTGGGCGCTGAGTGAGCAGGCTGCATCTGCTTCTCACATCTGGGCAGCAGCCACACTGGCATCTCTGTGGCAAGGTCGAGGCTACACTCCTGCTTTTGCAAGGTAGCCCAGGAACTGTTCATCGAACCCTTTTTTGAGTCTTCTAGGTGGGTGGGGCGAGTCTGCTCTTTTGGTTAGGGAAATATTTATACCCTTGATTATTTGTTTTGCAAACTGGATTTTCCAATACCCTGGCTCCATTCAAACCTGCTTCTTTGTCTCCATGCAAATGATTTTGAAACCAGGCTGGGGGGTGTGGATGCAGAAAAACTGCCTGTTCCCTCTTCCTTGGGGACCTGCAGAGCAGAGGCTGGGCTTTAGGTCTGGAGAACCAGCATTTGGGGTGTCCAGTAAGGGCTGTGCACGGCCCGGGGAGGGCAAGGGGCACTCAGTTGCACCTGTCCCTTCATGGGCTGCAGACTCCTGGGGTTTATCCTTTAGTTTATTTTATCTGTGTTGTGAGGAGCTGGGGGGGTGGAGATGTCCCTGATTCTGGGAAACCAGGGACTATGCTGCTGCCCTTGGGCAGGAGTAGGGCAAGGTCAGTGTTTAAATTCTAGCAAATTCTCTCTAATCCCAGCAGCTTTTAAGGGGTGAGCAGTGTTGGGTAAACCCAGGCCTGGGGCCTGAGGCTTTCCTGCCTCCCCAGAATTCCCTGCTTTGCTGGGAAAATTGGGTCAGGTGTCTCAGGGAGCCAAAGGCAGCACTGGCGTGGGAGGGGCATGTGTTGGGGTGGAGGAGGTGAGTYCAAATGGGCAACCAAGGTGGCCAGATACAGCCCTCAGGCAGCTCCCTCACCTCTATGCCCAAATCCCTGAACTCTGATATCAGACCTTAAGGAAGCTTGGGGGTCACTTTGCTTTCAACACCCCCATTTTTACAGATGAAGAAACTGAGCTTCATCATTTCCATGTCTTTTTCACCTCAATCATTTCTCTTTAAGTTTAGCCAACAGTGGCAGGTGCAGGCTTTGCTTTCTTCTTATTCATTTTGCCTGTAATCCCGGAGGGCTGGTAAGTTCTTCTTCTAGTCTACCCTTGATCTTTTTGACTGCTCATTTTTTCCCACTGGTCAAAACAATGACTCCTTGTTGCTTCCTATCCCCACCAGTTGGGCTACTTCGGCTTGGGGGGCTGGGGAGAAACTGGGTTAGTGAGAGCCCTCCCTGCCTGTCTGTGGGCAGTGTTCCCAGCAGGGGTTTTTGGAATCAGCAGCTCTAACCAGAGGCAGGATGTTGGGCTGGTTTTTTTTTTTTTTTCCTTCTTCTTTTGGTAAAACCAAAAGCTCCTTGTTGCTTTGTTGATGTATCTTTGTTCCTCCTTGAACACAAAGCTGTGGGTTTTGAAGGGGTCCAAGCCTGGAAGGGAGGTTTCACAAGAAAGAGGGAGCTGGGCTCTTGGGATCTCTGGTCTGTCCTTGTTCTACCTCTGGAGTATGGCTAATGGTGGGGCTGGTGAGAGAGGCTGCCACCTTCCTGTCCCCTGGAAGCCTGTAAATCTTGCAGCTTCTCAGCACTCTCCCTGCCCTCACTTCCTYGGGAGCAGGAAGGTGACTCAGGTCCTCAGGGTTCTGGGACAGAGGATGCTTCAGACCTGCCGTTAGTTGGCTGGGCCGCTGTGGGCCTGGGAGAATGCGTGGGAGAGGCATGGACAAGTCTCTGGTTCTTGACAGTGAATCTCTGTTTTTCCATCCATAAAATGGGCAYATGACAACTACCTTTTCTAGCCTAAAGCTTGGTGGTGAGCTTCAGGAGAGAATGCACAGGCACAGCATATAGAAAAGCGGCTTCATGTGCCTGTGGATTCTTTGAAGTCCATAGCTGCCCATAGCTCTTCTTTGCCAATAGAGGCTTTTCCCGGTTTTGCCCTCATGGATGCCAAGTTCCTTCCTGGGTTCCTCAGCCTTTTGTCCTATCAGGCTGCCTTCTCAAGAGCTGCTGAGAGCAAGAGGAGTGTGGAGAAGCATCAGCAGAGGGCCCTGCTGGGAATGATGAAGARGCCCCCCCCAAGTGGACATGGTGGCTTTAAGTCTGTGGTCGCAGTGACTCAGGAGGCTGAGGCAGGAGGATCACCGATATGAGGCGGGCCTGAGCAATTTAGTGAGACCCTGTCTCAAAGCATAACAAAGGATAGGGGGGTAGATTGTGGTTGAGTGTCCCTGGATTCAATCCCCAATACCAATAAAGAAAAAAAAAAAAAAGGGACCTGCCCAGGCTGGCTCAGAAAGGGACAATGAACAGCTGTGCTCTGGCCTCAGCTCTGTGCCAAGGCCCCCCTCAMCCTGCCCCTCCGTTCCTCACCATGGCCCATTCTGTTGTGGGGCTGGGTTCCAGCTGGGATGGGCGGCCCGGTTCTGTCTTAGAACCCACGTTGGCACCTGAACTGCCCGAGTACCCACACACCTCCCTTCCCAGTGGGATCTGAGGGCAGTGGGAGGTGGAGTTCTACCTGAGGATGCCAGGGAGGGAGAAGGTAGCATTCCCAGCAATTGTTTATGGAAAGAGGTCAAAGCAGTTGAGCCCTAGTCAGAGCCGGTCCTGTGGGGGAGGGGCATGGCGCTGGTKGTTTTTAAGCCCTCCCTCTAGAGACAAACCAGGGCCACCCCCTTCCTCACCTGAATTATCTGCAAGGATCCCCTGTACACACGGTCTCCAGGTTTAGCCCTCRGGAATTCTCCTGGGTTGAGGACACCCTGCAGTCTGTCTCTTCCCCTGCCCCCATGCTYGTAGACCTCTCTCCACTCCCCTCCTGCCTGGAGCTGAGGATGAGGTTGCCATGGGAACCTGAAGCGCAGTGAGCAGGGGAAGCGGAAGGCAGGGTTGTCTAACCAGGGCTGGGAGCTGCGGGGAGGAGCGGGGTGACCCAGGCAGGTCCGGGTACGATGGGGGCCGGACTCAGCCCTCCCAGTGCCTGTCCCTTCCTCTGCCTGGGGTTGGGCTCCTGGGGCTGGGGCAGGAGGTTGAAGGCTCTGGAGCTCCTCTTGAGTCTAGGTAATCTGATGCAGGATTAAAATCCKTCCCCATCTCTGCCAAATTAAGTCAACCCAGGCGGACCCCCTCCTCCCAGGCRTCTTTGATGGGATTAGTATTCCGACTCTGAGGCCTGAGCTCTGGTACCCACCAACCCATCTGAGGCCCTTGCTRTATATGAGAGGGGCTCCTGAGACCTTTTGGTGGGGTGTAGGGTGAGGAGGGATGCAGCGTGGGTAGAGGAGGTGGCAGCTGCCACTGTGGATTAGTGTCCTTGGTGTCCAGGAAACRCCATTGCTGCAGAGGGCACATCTGTGTGTTCACTGCGTGGTAGGCGGACGCAGTGGGTGTCGGAGCTGCAGAATTGGGGAGAGTGTGGGACATGCCAGATGCATGTGTCTGGCTGTCTTTGTGCCACTGGAGCTGGCCCTCTGCTTTCACCCTATATGTTCAGGCAAATGGGAAAACCCAGGGTTTTCAGATTGGTTCCCACAGACCCCCAGCCTGCTTCCTTCCTGCCCCCATTAATGCTACTTGTTCTCAGAATCCACCCTTCACATCTGGGCCAGAGCTGCCTAGAGGTATCCCCCTCATCTCCTGGCTCCTCTATTCAGAGACAAAAGTGCTCTCCTCACCACGGCCCCCAGCCCATGATACCTTCAGAATGTCCCCCACCCCCCATGTGGGGGGAGGGTCATCTCTGAGGCCCCCCAGAGATACTACTTCCATCCCTTCTGTTCCTTTCCCTCTAGTCTCTAGGAATAGACTCCCACTTGATCCTCCCTGCCTTGGAACTGCTCAGGAATTCTGAATGGGCTCCTGAGCTGTGGGTGGCCTGGCTGCCTGGAGCTGGGCCAAGCCGGGGGTTGGGCCTGCCTCAGACCTGTGTTCGCCCACAGGCSGTCTCTGTTGGCAGCTGCAGGCACCTGTGTTTGCTTTTCTCCTCCTGCTTCCTCCCTGTGCTGGAGCTTCAAGCTGGGTGGACCTGGGCAGAGCACAGATAGTATCACCTTGGCCTGTGACACTGAGTAGCCTAGGGGGGAAAAGGGCTTGCCAYGGTCACCCAGTGCACCAGTGGCAGGACCAGAGCCCAGAGCTGTGCCTTTTCTAGTTGCTCCTTTCTTCACTGAGTTTTCTACCCMGAGTCCTGCCTTTCACAGGTGGTGGACAAGAGGGAGGGAGGTCGTGTGCGTAGTAGCCCTTTGGGTGGCTCAGGGTGGTGTGAGTGGCTGGAGAACAAGCCAGGTTTGGTGAGAGCGTGGGCGGGTGGCAGCTCATAGCTAGCTCTTGGGCATGTCGGCTAGTTCAGGAAGGGCGTGCCTGGGAGGAGATTCTTGGAGGCCATCCATCTCTCTCCCTCCCCCCCCCCTTTTTATTTTTTGGTCCTAGAGATTGAACCCAGGTGTACTTTACTACTGAGCTATATTCCTAGACCTTTTTATTTCTTTTTTTAAATTTTGAGATGAGGTCTTACTAAGTTGTTGGGTATTGCAAAGTTGTTGGGGCTAGCCTTGAACTTGAGGTTCTCCTGCCTCGGCCTCCCAAGTCACTGGGATTATAGGAGTGTGCCACCCTGCCCGGCAAAGCCATCTTTTTCTTACCTTGGGACAGCCTGTGAGTCAGGGAATCTGCGGTGGTCACAGTTCTGGTGAATGTGGTCATCCACAGCTAAAAATGGCTAGATCTTGTGTTCCTGCTTGGAGAAACCACTCACTAGCTTCTGAAATGGTTGGGACCTCCAGTCGTTTCACATACCAGCGCATATACAACACACCCACCACAATGACCTTGGGGGACCTTGCAGTGACCCAGGAGGATACAGGAGAACAAGTTCTGGTGCTGGCTGAGCTTTAGCGCCTGGTAGGATACTTGTTTATTCCACAAGCATTTATTGAGCTCCGACTATGATTCTGGGAGCTTGGAATAAATCAACGAATAAAAGACCCCAATTTCCCTCCCCTTGTGAAGTAGCAGAGAAAGACCATTTAGCCATGTGATTAATAAGTTAATACTGATTAATAAGGTCACCTAGTGCGCCAGTGGCAGGACCCAGGATTGATAACCCAGGACCTTATGCAGGCCATGGGGGTCACTGAGTGGCAAGGGTCTGGAGCCAGCTTGCTATTTCCTCCTCTGTGGGATGGGGGTGTCTGGGCCACCCTGCCTCCTGCCACCAACTCCAAACCAGCTCTTTCTGGGGGCCAGGACCATGATCTGTCCCATGTATGGAAATGGGACAATGGAGTTTAGCACGTTGAGGGATCTGACCACTTCCTATGAGCCTTGGCCACATTGTGTAACCTCTCTGGACTGAGCTGTCCAGTCTGTCAAAGGGGGGCAGTGACAGCACTCGCCACCCAGGGTGGCTGTGACCTCCTTTCTGGCCTCCTCCTGGTCTTCTCACCTCTCCTCCAGTTCAGTTGCCCAACAGTGCCCTTCAGACACCTCTTTGGAGATCCCTTTCTTCTCAGTGCAGTCAGCCTCTCAGTGATGGCAGGGGACACTGTTGAACTGCTGCTGGGGCTGGGGCAGGGACTGCCCAGGAATCAGATGGAGCCTCCATTCCGGGTTCCTATCCTTCCCTGAGTGATGCCGACTCTGCTTTTTCTGTCTGCAGACACTACCCCAAGCAGTCCTTCACCATGGTGGCCGACACTCCGGAAAACCTCCGCCTCAAGCAACAGAGCGAGCTCCAGAGTCAGGTGAGGGGCCGGCCTGTGGGGCAGCTGGTGGGGAAAGTTGTGGTAAGCCTGGTTTGGCAAGGGTTCCTTCCCCCTGTGGTTACTCAGCAGGGACAAGGTGCTGAAACCCTAGCTCTTGAGACTCCCTGCCCCCAGGCCGCCAGCTACTGGTGCTTCCTGGTTTCATCAGAGGGTGGGGAGCCGCCTTCCTACCTGAGTGGCTGGAGGTGTGGGCGTCCCCCACTGTGCTTCAGGGCCCCTGGAGCCCGCCCCCTCTGGGAAACTGTTCCCCTTGCCCCCTCTCCATTTGTGCCCACCACAGAGGAAGGGTTGGGGGATACAGGGGCACTGGCCTCTCCAGGCCTGTGCTAGTCTGAGGTTACATGGTCTGTCCTGCAGTGACGTCCACATCCCTTCTTTGTCCCCGTGGAGGGCAGGTGTGAAGGGGCCTGTCCTCCTTTGTCCCCTTAGGCCTAACTTGTCTGAGCTGTGTGGGGAGGCCCYGCCCTCCTGTAGGGAAGTAGATGCTTCCTGGCCCTGGGAGAAAGGCCTCTTCAGGGGACACAGAGCTAAAAGCAAGGGAATTGGAGTCCTGAGACCCTGCCTAGAACAAGGGTGGCCTGTGGTAGGCAGGGCAGGGCTTCAGTGAGGATTRAAGGATTAAATGAGAGAATACACCGAGGGAGAAGTAAGGGGATTTACCAAGTGTGCACAGTGCCCAGGGAAGTCCCACCTGGGTCACAGAGGAGGCTGGTACCTGGCTCCTCAGGAGTGGACTGTAGCCAGGGTTGAACCCAGGACCTTGTGCATGCTAGACAAGCACTTGACCACTGAGATACCCACCCCCACTGCTCTTTCTAGTGTCCAGTTTTTATTTTAAGACACAATCCAGGCTCGCATCAAACTTAGGATCCTTCTGWCCTAGCCTCCCGAGGAGCTGGGGAGCTGGTGTTGTCCAGGAGGTTCCGTAGGCTGGACTCTGGGCCACTCTGCCTCCTGCCACCACCCTGGAGCCCGCCCCCTCTGGGAAACTGTTCCCCTTGCCCACCGTGCTTGGCCTGCTGCCAGATCTTCATGTGACCTCCTTAGCTTCCATCAGGGAGGACCACACCTGATAGGGCTTTCCTTACCTGTTCTCCAGTTCCTCCCTGCAACCCTGCGAGGAGAATGCTGTTTTTCCCATCCTACAGATGAGGAGACTGAGGCTTTGAGACATTCAGGGACTTGCTAAGCTCAAGCAGGTAGTGGGTGCTAACAGCATTAGCACTAAAGTCTTGAGTGCTCAGTGCCCAAAGCATATTAGCTCATTTAATGCTCACAACAGCCCTGCACAGTCAAAGGGGCACCTCACTGTGTGGAAGAGGAAATAGAGGCTGTGGCTTTGAGCACAGTTTGGTCTTTCCAGTTTTCTCTGCACTCTGTGAGAGCCGTCTCCATCTTAGTCCCTGACACTGCTGAGAGCTTTGGTAGCTTAGCAGGTGCTTTGAGTTACCTCACCTGTCTTAGGAAGGGTACTGTTACCTCCATGTTGCAGATAGGAATGGAGGCTGAGTGCCACAGGGCTTTGCCTGTTGACACACAGTAGTGGAATTCCAGGATTTGGCCTCTAGTCTTTTTACTTCTTGTTTAGTCCCTTGACCATGTGCAGCCCTGGTCAGTCTTGAGACTCACAGTGGAGGGGAACAAGTGGGACAGCTGGTTTGTTCCTCAGCAGCAGTTCACATCTGCCATCCCACCCCAGCTGTGGCAGGAGAGCTATAAATGCCAGGGACTGATGTACCCTGCCAGCTGAGGAGGGCCAGGGGCAGAAACACTGCTGCCTGGGCCAGACCCTCACCAGGCCCTGACGCCTACCCAGACGCCCCAGCCCTTGGAAAGCCACTTGGACCAGAGGCAGAGGGGCATCACAGGGGCCTAGAGGGAGCAGTGCTGGGAGGAGAGGCAGGTTCAGGGGTGGGGGAGCCTTTGCATAGGGGCACAGGTAAAGGGGACACACTCCACACATCCCCCACTCTCAGGAGGGGAAATTCAAACTCTTCAGCCTCAGTCCCACCAGGGCTGGGTTGCCGCTCTTCTTGCCCCTGGAAGTTGATCCCTGAGGGGCAGGTCTAGGACAGGGTATCCTCCAGGAGGGGTGAGGAGCTGGGCAGGGCTTGCTGTGGTCAGGGCTGTTCTGCACCTTACAGGGGAGGCCAACACCGTGCACAGGGGTTGGAGTCCTCCTGCTCCATGCATGCCCTCTGCTCCAGGGGCCTGCCCTGCAGCTCCCCTCCTGAGTCCCCAGCAGGCTGGGGAAATCTGGAGAATGGTCACTCTTCCCTTCGGTGTCCACTGAGGGCCAGGCTGTGCACTTGACCTCATTTCATGGGACAAAGGAGGGGCGCTTCGCCCCATTGTCCAGGCGGGGACCCCGAGCTGTAGAGAGGCCATATCACTTGCCCAGAGTCCAGTGTCAGGCAGATTTTGAGCCAAGCTGGTCTGGCCCAGGCATGCTCTGTTCTTATCAGTTCTGCAGGACTGACTGCTGTGACATGTAGCCCCAGGTTGCCAGCCCACAAGGGTAGTAGGGGGCTTTATGGAATGCAGATTCCTGGGCTCTGCCCAAGCAGCTTTGGCCCCCTGGTGGTCTCACAGAGGTACTCAGGGAGGCTCGGAGTGGGGCAGGTGGGCAGGAGGGAAACAGGCTTGAGCGGAGCCTCCCCCTCCCCCTCCATTTATGCCCCAGGTGTGAGGCAGGGGAACTGGGACTTTGCACTGAGGGCTTGTTGGGGTCTTGAGGGGTAGGGTAGGCAGTGTGAGAGGTAGGGACCTTTTCTCCTCCCACCACCCACAAACTCTGTGGTCTAAAAGTGTTTTCTTCCCCTTCACCAGTAAAATGGGGACAGAAACCCGTTTTCCTAGAAGCTAGGGGCTGGGCCTGACGCTCTGAGGCTGCTCTGAGGCTTGGATGGGCTGAGCCAGCCAGATCGGGGTTGGTGACAGTCCTGTGGAGTCCATCCCTCCGTCCGTGGGGGCAGGGCTGGCTACAGCTGCCTGTGGCTGGCAGGAAGGGAAGTGGGAGCCTCCTCTGCCTGCTCTGCCCCACCCCATCAGGGTGTCAGCCAGTGTCTTCCCAGGGTCCCTTCCAGGGCCGGCCTCCCTGGGCCTCAGCCCTGTCTCTGGGAAGCTGCCCATGCTATTTCAACTTGTTTTTGTCTATATTGGTCCTGAAAGTGGCACTTTGGGTGTCTGGGACACCTATAGCCTCCCCGGCGGGGGAGGTAACCACAGAACTGTCCAGAAGTGACCCTCTGAGTGGTCCTGTGGAGCTGGCAGTGGTCCCCGACCCCACCTTCCTCATCCACTGCTCGCCCCCCTGAGCTGAGGGAGGCAGCGGTGTTGGGTGGGGCTGGGCTGGAGGCATCCCTGTGGTCTGAGAAAGGTGAGGAGAGAGTGTTTCTTCATTTTCCCTGTCATTGTCACCTTCATGGTGTTATGGGGAATGCCACCAAGGAGGGCGGAGTGTGCAGTGAGAGTCCCACACTGTACTCTGGGGCAGGGTTCCCACTTTTTAAAGCCACGATCTTCTTATTTTGGATCATTAAGCAGTTTTGGTTTTTTTGTTTTGCCAAATATGTTGCTGGTTTATTTAGAGATGAAGCCTCTGTTCGATCCATTCATCATTCATTCAGCAAACACTGATTTGTACTGCTGTTGTCTGGGTTGAGTGATCGTAAGGTAGATCCAAGGAGAATAACTAAGAACCTACATCCAAAGGGTAGGATTTCATAGGTGCTGGTGTGTGGGCAYCAGGAGCCTTGGGCACCAGTCCCAGCTCGTCCATGGGAGTTTCCAGGTCAGGGCGCAGTCATCAACCAGGATGGAGTCATCTGGCCCAAAGTGTTGAGTTGCACTCTGACCCCATGACAGCTGGGTTCAGTGACCCTAGGCAGGTCCCTTTTCTGCCCTCCAGGGACCTCTTAACATCCTGGTGAGTCACTCCAGACCCAGGGCAAGCCTCCTGAGTGGGCCAGGAGGGAGCCTGGGCCTCCTCATGCTCCTGGCCCCACCTCTGCCACTCCCTCCATCACCAAAAGGCCCCTCAAGAGAATCTTGCCCGCATCGTTTCTCTAGTTGGGGCCTGAAGGTGCTTAAAAATGGTCACAGACTTCAGAGAGGGAGGCTTTTAGAGACCAGCCATCCAGGAAGCCTAGAGAAGGGAATCAGCCTGTGTAGGGACCTGCAGCAAAGCGGCTCTGAGCCCAG